CTCTCTCTCTCACACACACACACACACACACACACACACACACACACACACACACACACACACGGACAGTATCAGAGAAAGCGAGTGAGAAGCAGGGATGTTCGTCCCCGCTCAGAGGAAATGAGTCTCCGTCCCTGCTTCCTGCAGGGACAGTGCCCACCTAGGCTTCCACCCCATCCAGCCATAACGAAACCTTTTTTCCTCCCCCTCAGAGGCAGTGCCAGGCGATGCTACACGGACAGCCAGCATTTCCGCCAGTTTCCGGAACTAATCAGGCAACCACTCCTGACTCCTCCTCCACCCCGCCATCATCCGGGTCATGCGGGGAATGGTAATGGCGCCGACCCACCACTCCGGGGAGGTCTCAGTGGACGTCCCTAACTCCACCCCTGCTAGCAATAATGAGGACTCCTCTGGGGACCGTGAAGGCTGAGTGGAGAACTTGGGTTTCCACCCATGCCTGGCCGTGATAAAGGTCGCCCACCAGCACACTGGAGTGGTGTCAGAAGCGACCAGCGAACACAGAGCTTAAATCAGAGCCACAGCCTCAAAATGTGATGCAATGTCCTGGTTTCAAAGAAAATCAGCTTTCATATCAAGAACCAGGAGTATCTCAAACTGAATGAAAGCAAACAAAAAAATGATGGAAAGGCTAGAATTATCTGATGTGGATTTTAAAGCTCGTCAGTTTTCTGTCACTATAACAAGTATCTGACATACTCAATTTAGGAATAGAAAAGGTCTCTTTTGGTTCACAGTTTCAGAAGTTTCAGCCCCTGCTCAGTGGCTGCCTTGCTTCAGGCCTGTGGTAGAGCAAAACCTCTCGATTCATGACCAGAAAGCAGAAGGGATAAGAAGGGTCTGGACCCCTGTGATCCCTGGAACAGCCACCTCCAAAGATCTGAAGGTCCAGAGGGCGCCACGCCTTAAATTGTCCCCCACTCCCCAAGAGCTCCACGCTGGGACCAAGCCTTTGCACGTGGGTCTCCGGGATCGCCTGAGAGCCAAACTGTAGCGTGTTTTAAATATTTTTACTAAATTCTGGTGGATCCTTATAAAGTAAATGTAGAGTTTTAAGTTTTATAAAGTGCTACCTAGCTATGTGCTTTCTGCTCTTGGGGAGAGAAGGCAAGAGCTTTCATAGTCGCTGGATAGCAGAGGGGCTTGTCACCTTAAGAACACCTGAAGTAATCCCTTCTGAAAGAGGGTAGCCACGCATCACTAGTGAAATAACTGCCCCTGAGTGGTGGTGAGGCCTTGGCTCTTTCTCCAGTTTCTCTAAGCTCTAGCTTTTCCTTATCTGGGACAAGAGGGTCTGAGACCCTGTCTGAGCTGTCTCCCAGATACAAATTTGCACTAAACTATCCAGATGTCCCTGCTAGTTTACTTAAAAGATAATTTTGTCTACTGAAGAACAGCTCTGTTTCATCAAAGTTATAATTTACCAAACGTTCATTGGTTTTAAACTTTATTAAATGGCTTGTCATAGAGTTCCTTTGAATGCTGAGAGTTCTGAATATATTGCATCCATTTAGAAGATATTCCTATATAGCCACTGTGATGTGTGAGCCCGATGCCAGGTAGAGGGACAAGACAGATAGCTTATAGCTGTTTTCAAATATAGCTCAAGGTTTTAGGAACGTGGCCAATCCATAAAGCCATGCAGAGATATTTCCAATATCAAGAGCCTCTGGTAAATGGAAATGAATTAATGTATAAATAAATGAAATTTGAAACAATTATTTTACCTTTTTTTAAATGTAGACAAAAAAAGCATTCACTACACAACCTTTAAGTAAAATCATTGGCAAATTGCAGCCTGTAGATGTCAGCAAATACCTATGAAGGACAGGAAAATATTACCGAAAGGAAGTAGTGTTTGAATTTCTCTTTTCGGTTTCTTTCCCATTTGCATGTGTTTTCATCTTGCATTCTCAATGTCTCTTTCTTAAACATCTGTAACACAAATCCAAAGCAAATGTTTTCTATTGTCTGCCCTATTTATCTAATACATCTTGTTTTCTGAATTTTATTCAATTTATTGATGCCCAGGAGTTTCAGTTTGTTCTTATTTCTCTCTGAAATACTCTATGGTCATAGGCAGGCACATGATTTGGTTTGTTCCTGTTGTTGGTGGTGGTGTTAATTGTATATTTGTTTTTTGGTTTTTGGTTTTTGTTTTGTTTTTTGTTGTTGTTGTTGTTGTTTTGCAGTACAGGGGATTGAACCTAGAGCTACATCCCCAGCCCTTTAAAAAAAAATTTTTTTAATTTTGAGACAAGGTCTCACTACGTTACTGCAGTTCTCTTGCCTCGGTCTTCCAGACTGCTAGAATTTACAGACACACGTGTTATTTTCTAAAGCACTGGTTTCCAAAGAGTGGTAGACAAATGCAGGATAGGCACAAATGATCTTTTGGGATACAGGAAGGAAATGTTAAGATTTCTGCTTTTATTTATTCAGCAACTTTAAAATTTTCTATTTGTTATATGTATTATAGTGTATATAATCAAATCACATGCTACTACATGTGGATAATTTATAAATAAACATATGCCAATAAGTATTTGATTTTTTTTTTTAGCGAGAAAACTTTAGGGTTCTTTAAAAGCTTCAACATCGTAGCTTAAGTATCTACATAATTGGTTGTGTTCTCATCCAGGGAATGATGCTCTTCCTCTATCCAAAGGACCTTGTATATATAAATGTTAATAAGTGTTTGTTGAACTCCACTGATAACCCATTTCATTCTTCAGACCGTCAATCTAGTGACCATCTTTTGAATATATTCTAAAGATATTTTTGCTAAAACTAAGAATATCTCAGGAATTTTTCACTAAAATTTAATATTAAAAGGGGAAAAAAGATGTTTTTCTTTGTACCAGCAACAAGATTTAATGGGAAAAAAAACCTATTGTAAATATAGAAGTAATACTGAACATATTAGAGCAACTGGAAAATGCTAAAGTTACCAGCATCCTCAAACCGAAGAAGTATCCAAATGCCCCAGTCAGTTCATATTTGGTAGAATTTTTCATTAATAAGAAAAACTAAACTTTAGTGCATCTACGAATCCCTAGGGAGGAGGGTTTAAGGTAAAGTCCCAGTTCCAGGCTGAGGGATTCTCATTCAGCCAGTCTAGAAAGTCCCATTTTCATTAAGAACCCAGGAAGATTCTAACCCTGGCCACCTGTGATACAACTGTGAAGTAACCTTCCTGGAGGACACGTTCGGTCTTGCCGACAGTTATGAGGATTTGGCCAAAGTTGATCTAAAAGTCCACCCTGCAGTGCATAACTCTGGCCAACTGTGAAGAGAGTGTAAAACAGCAGCTCCTATCTCCTGGAGGAGATGACTACCCTTCCTGAACTGACCCACAGCACCTGAGACTGGGCATGGACTGTCACCCTGAGGCCCCCACCCAGTGCTATGTCAGTGGAGCATTTCATGGTATTTACTTGATAAACACCCGGCCAGGCCTGAGCCTCCTTGACCTCCTTGAGCCTCCATGTAACCTGGCTGCTCCTTCTTCGTCCATGAGGCAGATGTCTACTGGCTCTCCTGTCACCCCTAACATGCAAACATGAGGAATCACAAGGCAAGGTCAGATGCCCTGGTGTGAACATAGGGACCCTCACCTCTTCCAGACCTTTGACAAACCATGCCCAGCCCCTCCCAACACGCCCTCCCCTGAACTTCCTCTTGCAGTGGATTTCAGCACTCACTGTCCACTCAACTGTGTGAGCCAGAAAATTGACCCTAATCAGCTTTTAAGTCCTATCTAGTCTACTTCAAAGCTCATTTTGTTGATTTCCAGCATGTTGATTTCGACTGAGTCATTTCATTTGTTTTAGTTTTTTCTTTTAAGTGGTGACATATGTGGGTATTGAGTACAGTCACAAGTTCAAGTCTGGAGAATGGAATCTGAAGGCATCTTTTTGTAGGTATGTAAGAAAAACCATGATGAATTGGTCAGCAGAGAGAAAGTAGAAAAAAATAGAATCAAATATTTTGAAGATTTAAACCATTTTATTTCTGACTATGATTTTGGTTCCAATTCCTTCTAGAGAAATTTGGATGCTGTGTCAGAATTTGAGGTTTGCATCAAAGAACATCATATGATCTTCTAGTTACTACTTATTTATAATAAAACTTCAGCAAATAGGAGATTATTTTGTAAGAAAAAAATGCAATGCCCACTCTGTACAAATCAGCCATGTCTTCATTTCAGATTAACAAACACACTCAAAGACCTAATCAGTGATAATCTGGCACCTGGTTTACCTAGTGGGATGTAGTGTAGGATGGAGTATGTGCTACATAGCTTATTGGCCTGACAGCATTGGAAACATCTTCATCAGGAATTTTTTTTTTTTTTTTTTGGTACCAGGGATTGAACTCGGGTCCTTGTGCTTGCAAGGCAGGAGGTGGAACCACTGAGCTGAATCCCCGGCCCCCTTCATCAGGACTTTTTACAAAAGTCTAGGTGCTGCTTCTGAACAGACGATGCCTTGTTGTAATAAATAAGACCACAGGGGTGGATGGGAGCCGCCGTCCTAGGATAAGAAACCCTCACACATGACAAGAACCATGCCTTTTAAAAGCCTGAGAGTGCAGATTAGAAGCTAAGGGACACATTGACTTTCAAGAGGCACCATGCACGGAACCCAGGGCCTGTGTTTCCCTACAGGCTCCCTTCGGTCTGGGTCCTGCTGACCCACAGTCTCCACGCCTGCTGGAGTCCTCCCGGTGCAGAGGTGGGTCCCAAGCCAGGGGCCACTTGCACAGAGGGGAAACAAGTCAGCATGGCACATCCCCGACCCCAGGAAACAGTAAGGACAAGGTGAACTCGAGTTCATCTTCCCCTGGAGGGGGTGCCTTACAACTGTGGCTAAGCTTTCAGTTCATCAGCAGTTTTCTCCACTCATGAGCTCCGTCCAGTCAGGACACATCAGGGATGGCACTGACTGGTAGCAGCTACCCAGCACTGCGAGGAGAAGCTGGGGCGGGGGGACCTGTCAAGAGAAGAACTATCTTTTTAACCTTGAAACCTAGAGGACCCAATCAGCACAACAGCAGCTGCAGCACACCTGGCCCGAACATGACTCACAGGAAGATTCATCTGCCCGCTGTCCAGGCGCACGGAGGAGGGAATGGGAGAAACAGGACCGGCTGGGGAGGGCACAGCCTCACCCCCTGAGGGTGCTGACTGCTGGCGCTAGGGTGGCTAAGCTGAACTACTCATAAGTCTCAGAGGTGCTTCTAAACCGGAGAAAAGAAAGGCACAGCTGGACACACCTTTGACCCAGGGTTAATGCCGCCCAGCACTGTGGTAGAGCCCACCACGCAGCAGACCAGCTGCTGCCTCTGAAGGAAGGACTCGCTGAACACATCCCTCTTGGATCCCCGAAGTTAGAGTCCCCTCAAGGAGCACCGAGCAAGGCCTCAGTGGCCGGGCACTTGCTGCACATCTGTCTTCTTCCCCTCTCCCTGAATACATTGGGTGCCTCCTGTCCTCTGTTCTTTGAGTTCGGT